GTTCAGCAGCAGGCCCTGGCCCCCAGTCTGAAAATGGGGGTTTGGGGAGGTCAGGACTGGCTAGATCACTGGCTAGGAGAGTTCAGGATGGAAGGAGGAAGGATGGGGAAGCAAGAGGCCAGGCCATGAGGTCTTGAAGGCCATGCTCAGGCCAAGGACTTTGTTCATAGGCAATGGGGAGTCACTGAAGGTTTTAGATTGAGAAAGTGTGCAGTATGAGCTCTGCCTATGGAGATTCATTTGGAAACAAATGTATGGAAACAAGAACCCCAAGGACAGTTTAGGGGAGCACCTACCTTCAAAGAACAAAGAGGAAAAATGGAGCCTTTGAAGGAGAGAGGGGAGTGGCCAGAGAGGCAGGAGGAGAACCAGGAGGGAGCAGGGCTCCCGGGTCTGTGGAAAGAAAGGTGGGCTGAGGGACAGGGGCTGGCTTCTCCTGATTTGAAGGGATTGTCCCTCCCATGGGATTGTTACCTTGAGACACCAGGGAGGGACAGAGCCCAGCTCCTCACCCTCTGGTCGTTTTTGCCTTTCCAACATCCGCTCTCCTTTTTAGGAATGGCACCCTGATTTTAACTGGGGATGCCTATTCTCAGAGCATGTACTCCAGGGTGGGCACATGACTCAGGCTGGCTGATGAAAGTACCCTCTCTCTCCCATGTCGCAGTGATTTGTTGGACATGTGATCCCAGCTGGGCCAGTAAGAGTCTGAGACTTCAGCTGGGACTATTTAAGGAGAAGCTCTCTTTTCCTTGCTTTGCTAAGTGACAGTGGGCTTCTTAGCTCGGGTGGGCAAAGCCTGTATGATAATGAAGCTAACCCAGGAGAAACGGAACCAAAACATGATGGGGGCAGATATCTGAAGAGATTGTTTAAACATTTAGATCCAGGTGAAATCAGTAGCTGAACCAAGGTGTGTTTTTTAAAGCTAATTTGGATTGAGTTTCTGTCACAGGCAACCTCAAGAGTCTTCCGCCCTGGTACCCTCTCTGAACCTCATTTGGGAGATGAGGGGCCTTCCATGAGAGTCCTTAGAAAGTCCTTCAAACACGTGAAGCCTGCCTGGACCCTTCTGCCTGGATCCTGATCGAGAAATGGTCTTGCTCAAGGGTGATTAGAACTGGGTAGAGCCTGTTGAGAAGTGAAGCCAAATGCTCTAGGAAAGAAGTATCCTTCCCTCTCAGCACCAAAAGTACAGGGATAAACCTAAGCTCTTCTACTTCTTTCTATGCTATGACTCTATCAGTTTTCCCTTCCGTAAAATGAGGAGATGAGATAGTACAACAATGGCCACTACATTTTCTGAGCACCTTCTGTGTGTCCTGCGTGATGAAAATATACTAATCCACTTATTCTTCACTATTCCTAAAGATACAGGTATTGTTATTCCCATTTAACTCATGAGGAAACTGAGGCTCACAGGGTGGAGTGGTGACTCACAGCTAATAAGAGGCAGGGTGGGATTTAAAGTCGTACCTGCTGGATGCCACAGTGGACCTTTCCTCCATCCTCCCTGTCTGACCCACCCAGTACTTACCTTTCTCCAGGTCCAGGCGAGGGCGGGCCTTGGCTGGGCTCCCGCTCTCCAGCGTCCAGGCCTCTCTGTGCCAGTCCCCTGCCAGCCGCCCCTGCCGCCCTCCCTTGAAGAAGAGGTTCATCAGCGTCTTGGAGCGTTGCAGGGCCCCCTTCTCCCCAGGGAACCCTGACTTCTCCTTCTTCCGCTGCTTCTTCTCCTCTGCAGACACGGAGGAGCACCGGGGGTGCTGGAGGGGTGGGCAGAAGGGAAGGACAAGGGGCGGGGGTCGGGGGAGGGGCAGAGAGAAGGGAGAGTAGGGGGCAGACAGGATCTGCAGCTGTGTGAGGAGGTGGGAATGGGGATGGGGTGGGGGGTTCTCCTCCTACGTTCCATCCCTCCCCCATCCCACAGCTACAGCTATGTGAAGGATCCGTGAGAGCTGGGGTCTGTGTGTATAGACAGGCCTGGGAACTCCAGGATAGAGGGGCTTGGTTAGGGCTGGTTTGGGGCTCAGAACTGACTGGAACTGGTGCTGGGATCGACGGTGGGTTTGGGGCCCAGGATTAATTTAAAATGAGACCCAGAGCAGGGTCTGAGTGTATTCTGGGGCTGAGGTTGGGACTGGGTCTGGGTGGAGGCCTGGGGCAAAGGGAGGTTTGGGGCATAGGACAGGGTGTGAGGGAGGTTTTGGACCAGGGGCAATAGAGAAAGCAGCAGCCACCCTACGTACCCCACAAGGTCAAGTGACTCTGGGAGCGTGTGATGGGGGGCCGAGGTCGGCTGAGAGCCAGCAGCAGAGCAGTCTTGGGGGACTCCGAGAGTGCAGAGTCAAGGTGGCAGGCAGGCAAGGGTCCATTGGAGCGGATGGCCGTGTCCCTGAGGATGACCGTGGGCCGCACACTGCACCAGGTCTCCATGCAGCCCCCCATGTCGGGCTCCGTCTGCATGGCCATGTCTGCCCGCCCTCTGCCTGGGCCAAGCCTGGGCTCCTCAGGCCCCAGGCAGACATCCATGTGGTCTGAGGGCAGGGAGCCGGAGCCCTCAGCAGAGCTGTAGGGGACACTGGAGGCGTATGAGGAGACACTGGAGCTGCTCTCAGAGGCCTGGGACAGCTGCTGCAGCACCCCGTTGCTCACTGTGGGCAGTGGGGAAGGCAGGGGCATCTTGGGGGTCTGACAGGGTTGCTTCAGAGCCCTATCAGGCTTGCAGACATCCCCCGGGCTTGGAGGTTTGGGGAGAGTGTAGCACTAGCCAAGGTCTGGGGACTCAGATGCTCAGAATCCTGCTACTGACTTGTTAAGAGACCTTGGGCAAGTTGCTTTTCCTCCACCCACATCCTGAGACTCCAGACCCTGGGAGAGCCTGCAAGAAACTTGCAGCTTCTCAAAGGAGAGTCCAGAAATGACTCTGGGCAGTGTGAAAATCCCAGTAAGATCCTGCTTCTGCCCATTTATTCTTCAGAGATTCTGGCCCCACCCTCGGGCCTCAGCCCTTTCTCTCCAACCTTGGGGGCCTGGGCCACTTACGTCGGTTCAGCCAACAGTACTCAGAAACCATCTCCTTGTAGGCAGGGTAACGGCCTGTCTCCTGGGGAAGGCATGGTGCGCAGAGGAGGGCATAGGGGAATGGGAGAGAAGGGAGGGTAAGAATGGAGAGTTCTAGGACAGGAGTAAACTTTCAACCTTATCAGTCTCCTCTGAGTTCATCATGCTCTAGCTACACGAACCACTGTATTTCTGAACATGCAACATTCCTCTATGCCTCAGGGCCTTTGCATCTGCTGTTCCTACGGATTGGATTCTCTTCCTTCAGCTCATCTGTGCTAGCTCCTTCTCCCTCTTCAGGTGTCAACTCCTCAGAGAGGCCTGCTCTCACCACGCCCCCTGGCTAAAAGGGCCTTCCTAAATTACCCTATCCTGTTTCTCTGTTAATTTCCTTGTAGCAATTTTCGCAATCTGCATGTATCTAGTCTATGCAGAGGACTTGTCCTGTTTGCTATTGCAGCCTCAGTACCTGGTATAGTCATATAGGAAGTACTTAGAAATATTGAATGAGTGGATGAATGAATAAACAAATGAATGAATGAATGAATGAATGAATCAATGAGGGGCAAAGTGGGAGTAAGGAGGAACACTTTTGGATAATTTGAGAAGGAAAGGGAAAAATGGGATGTGGGAGGTGAGAAATAGAGTCAGTGGCGGGGCGGGCAATGGTGGATGAGGCACTGAATGGTGAAATGGGTGACGGTTTGGAGAGGGTGGAGCAGGGGCCAGGATGAGGCACTAGGGAGAGTGAGGGATTACCTCTTCCAGGAGCCAGAGTGAGGAGGACCTGATCCACAGGCAAGTGTGAGACCCATATGAATAATGGATCCAGCCGCCTCCCCTGAAACCCAATCTCTGGCCCCAGCCCAGCTCCTCTTGCCCTGTACTCTGAGGATGTCCACCTTCTAGGTCCTGCCCAAAGCCACAGCTACTGCCCCAACCTTCTGGGAGGAATGTTTTCCCTTTCAGTTCTAGGCCTCTGCCACTCCTATGAAGGGATATTGCCCTAGACGTCCCAGGAGCAGGTCTGGAACTCGGCCCTGCTACTGACCAGCTGAGTAACTGACCATAGTTTCTCAGTTATTTTGTCTCTCGGAGCCTCAGTTTCTTCTGCAAAACAGGGATGAGAACAATGCCTGCCCTGCCTCTCACGTGGCTGTGGAAAAGTCATAAACTGCAGAGCTATGGGCATAAGTAAGTACTAGAGTACTCTATCGGCTGTCAGCCTGGCCTCTCCCTGACTCCCAAGGTCCTGCCCACCTTGACGGTCAACATGATGTGTGTTTGGCCCTTCAGCACCTCCACGGCCTGGCTGTGGCTGATATTGTCGAACCTGACACCGTTGGCCGCCAGGACCTGGTCTCCCACCTTGATGCCGTTCTCTTCGGCCAGCCCACCATGGTCTACTCTGAGATCAGACAGGCAGCAGTCTTGATAGGCCTCCTGGCCTGCCCTCCCTCACCCCATTCCAGATTCTCTTCACTTAGATAC